AAGGCAAGTCGTATACCATCAAGACAGGGATGTCGAAGACAGACTCTTTGATTGTAAATATTTAAAGAAAATATAACTAGAAAAAAATCCACGCGGACCAGGCAGCAGACGGGACTCGAACCCGCACCCTTCGCAATCCGGGCGAATGCACTGACCAATTATGCTACCGCGGCCCTCACGGACTGCGTCCAAATTCTTCTAGCCATTCTTAAGCTGGCAGGGCAGCGCCATCTCTTCGCATTATAGGTAACCCACAAGGGATCGAGTCCCGTCTGCTGCCTGATTTGAACATCAAGCAGTTACATGCCTTAAAATAATAAAAATTATAACTGTAAATATTTATATTAACACTTATCTACGCCACGCCGTCCTAACTCTATTCTTGTCAAACTCTCTTGTCTGCTTCTTTTATAACTGGTTATACTTACTGTCTTTTCCTTTTATTTCTGTAAACATAGTATTTAATAATACAACCTTTTCCCCTAACCGCCGTTTCCTTTGCTGTCCTCGTCAAGGGATATGAGACAGAATGAAGTATTCACCAACTTATTTATAGTTATGATTTTATTTATTTTTTAAGCATTTAACTGCTAGATGTTTAAATCTAAAGAAAAGTTTACTAGAAAAAAAATCCACGCGGACCAGGCAGCGGACGGGACTCGAACCCGCATCCTTCGCTATCCGGGCGAATGCACTGACCATTATGCTACCACGGCCCTATTAGCCGCGTCGAAATTTTCCTAGCCTTAAGCTGCAAGGCAGCGCCATCTCTTCGCATTGTAGGTAACCCACAATGCCAAATGAATACTTTTTCAAGTATTAAACATTTGAAAGAAGAAATAGCATATAAAGTTATGATTTTATTTATTTTTTAAGCATCTAACTGCTAGATGTTTAAAAAAATCTAAAGAAAAGTTTACTAGAAAAAAATACACGCGGACCAGGCAGCGGACGGGACTCGAACCCCTTCGCTATCCGGGCGAATGCACTGACCATTATGCTACCACGGCCCTATTAGCTATTAACTTATTTATATCCATACTGCTACGGCACATGTCTTCTCTTAAGATGAAATAGGGAGACCCCAGGCATCAGGGCCGTATTTACACTAGGGCCAAGAGGGCCTTGGGATCCCGAGCATTTAGACTATTTGGCGTATTTAGACTAGGGCCAAGAGGGCAATGGGACCCCGAGCATCAGAGGCGTATTTACACTGGGGACAAGAGCACCATGGAACCCCGAGCACCAGGGGTGTATTTACACTAGGGCCAAGGGGTCCATGAGACCCTAAGCACCAGAGGCGTATTCACACTGGCGACAAGAAGGCCATGGGATCCCAAGTACCAGGGGCGTGTTTACACTAGGGCCAAGAGCTCCATGGAACCCCAAGCACCAGGGGCATATTTACACAGGGGACAGGAGGAGACTGATAAAATTATTATCATAGACTGAACTAATAAAAAAAATATATCAACAAATCAGCTGTGAAAAGTATTCAGACATTGTATTTGAATAAAAATATTTACTCTGAAGTCATTTTTCAACTTGACGACTCTGTATTTAACAAGACAGGGAGAAAAAAACATCCCTTGCTGAGTTTCTTGCCGGTTCTTCTCGTAATAAGTTAGATAATTTAGAAAGAAGGTTATATCTATACTTACTTAATATTATAAAGCTGAAAAGTTTGCTGGTCTGTTTATTTTTTAAAATGATTTTAAGCACAATAATGAAACATTGAATTCGCCCATAAAATATTATTCAATATAATTAATATATTCTTTTATAATTGTAAATTAACCTTGTGATCCTCATTTCCGTCACCCAATTCCATCACGCTATAACGGGAAGTTGTTGTGGTTGGCGCGTTTCGGCCCCGATCGTTGAAGTAAAGCAACTTTGGCAGTGGTCGGTCATTGGATGGGTGACCAAAAATTTACTATCTCACTCCTCCGTGCTTCAGAAGGCATATTGAGCAGTTGGTCCCGGCTGCATTTGTAGTCGTAAGCACCAACGAATCCACACTGGGCCCATGTGGTAGGTCATGGCCTAACCTCCCCCCTATTCCATACATAGGGAAGGCCTGTTCTTCAGCAGTAGAGACATTAAGTGGCTGGTGATGAATGAATACAACAGAAGACATTGTAATATAAAATTGTGTATTCTTTCGCAAAACCTACTCACAGTTCACAATGACAGCATTCATCTTTCATGACACAGAAATCAATGGCTGATTGTGGTGATTCATAAATTACATTATAATTGTTTGTTTGTATAATTACCGTGTAAGTAGTTTACCACGAAAGGCAAAAGGCAAGTCATTTGACTACAACTTGGACTTGGAGTGGTGGAAAATTATCGAATGTAACAGGTGAAAATTTTAGCTTAACAATGAAAATCTATATATTGATAGCAGTTTTGGTAACTTTCACAGGTGATATAATACTAGCAGAATGTCGTTCCCGGGTGTACCCACGACAAAGTCTAACTAAAGCCGAGGTCCGAGTCTCAGAGACGCCCTCTAGTTGAGCCGACTTCTCTCAGGTTCGAGTGGTCAGAGACTCCAGACAGAGAGGAGACTCCCCCCGTGGGGAGATGCCATCCGCCTGGAATACCTCGAATGGCACTCGCCAATTCTCAGCTTGAGAGAGAGACGCTGTAAAGGTCATCTGCGACCAACAGCATGCACATTAAAAAACCGGGTATATAATAATCCCTGTAAAGGACGATGTATGTATTATATTATATAATATGTATATAGTATGTATTATATGACGATCTCCGTGGCCGAGTGGTTTGTACGCCGGATTTCATGGTGACAACAACACAACAGATGTTTGTGTGATGAACACGAGCATTTGTACTCCAGTCATGGATGTTTAATATGTATTTTTATATAAATATGCTCGTATTCATCACACAAACATCTGCCCCCACCGGGATTCGAACCCGGGACCTCTCGAGTCGGCGACACCATGAAACCCCGCGTACAAACCACTCGGCCACGGAAGTCGTCATAATAACCTTAGCGCGTTCGGCTGCTGATCGTTGAAGTTAAGCAACTTTCGCAGTGGTCGGTTATTGGATGGGTGACCAAAAATTTACTATCTCGAGTTCCTCTGTGCTTCGGAAGGCACGTTAAGCCGTTGGTCCCGGTTGCATCTGCAGTCGTTAGCACCCATCAATCCGCACTGGACCCGCGTGGTGGGTAATGGCCCAATCTCCCTAATCCATCCATACGGAAGGCCTGTGCCCCAGCAGTGGGGACATTAATAGGATGATGATGATGATGAGTGTAATGATTCTCTGTTGTCTTATTCTTTATCATTTCTGATACCGTTAACACATCGCAACCTTTAGAATACAATAGACATAACTAAAGAACAAATAGTAAGATATTTATAACTAAAAACTTTAAAATATATAATAACTAAAATACATTATTAAAAGGAATACCTTTATGCAAGGTTCCAAAGATACTTAAATACTTAATTTAGTTATTATATATTTTAAGGTTTTTAGTTATAAATACCTTATTTTTTGTTCTTTAGTTAAATTTATTAAATTACCTCCATTTTTTTTATAGACATAACTTCAAAAATTTCGTCATTTCATTTTCCGGAGAAAGAATGACCATATCAAATTTATGAGTTATTAACTTATTAGGTTACTTCAATTCTGAGGGTGCGACATATTAGTGTCGATTCTGGCAGGATTCTCTGAACCTAAACTTAAATTTGACAACAGTACATCCTTGTCATTTTCTGTACAGAATGAAAAGGAGAGACTGATGTTAAATATAGTTTAAGGTTTACATAGAATGTCATGTCATCATGTCAGAATTGACATTAATATTTTATGCTTGCAGACTTTTTAAAAGTCGAATATTTTTTATGATGATCATCATAAATTTATTACATTAATAGGCACTTTTTTTTTATTGATTTATTTTTTAACACATACCAATTAGCCTAGCCCCAAAGTATAAGAATTAGGCATAGGCCTTCCCCATGGATGGAAAAGGAAGATTGGGTCATGACCCACTACGCGGGCAGCGGATTGGCGGGTGCTAACGACTGCTGATACAGCCGGGACCAACGGCTTAACGTGCCTTCCGAAGCACGGAGGAACTCGAGATAGAAGATTTTTGGTCACCCATCCAATGACTGACCACTGTGAAAGTTGCTTAACTTCAACGATCGCAGCCGAACGCGCTAACTACTCTCCAATATTTATTACGTCTTAATTGTACATTATTCAATAATTTTCAACCAAATACATGTTCACAACGAAAAAGTTTACTTCCGAAATACTTTATTTCAATCAACTTATTAAAAGCACTTTTGGGTCGTGCAATATTTGTTTCCCTACAAACCATTTTTCAGGACATCTTTAATAAAAATCGGCAAAAGAATCGGTAAAAAGAAAACTCATCAGCATTCATATAAAATTATTTTTTTCGTTTTGCATTTTTATAACGTCATTCACAACACCCAATTCAAAAGCACCCTTAAACGGACGACGGAGAAGACAAATGATTTAATGATAGAATTTAAACACTGTTTATTTGTATTGAAACGAAACCAATAAAATCAGTACCCTTAGTACGAGTTTTACAATCACGAAAACTATGATAGTTTTCGTGAGCTCGCACTCGTACTAAGGGTACTGCTTTTATTGGTTTCGTTTCAATACAAATAAACAGTGTTTAAATTCTATCATTAAATCATTTGTGTCTTCTTAAATTTTAAGTATATTTGATTACTTTTCACCAAAATGGACATAGAAACATATAAAATTTATAATTACGAAAACTATGATAATTTTCGTGAGCTCAAACTCGTACTAAGGGTACAGAACTTTTTCTACAATAAGTACGATACGAAGTTACTACGTACAGTTGGGATTTTTCAAAATGTAAGAATCTGTGTTCTGCGAGGTCGCCTCGGCTATTTCACAAACTTATACTATAAAAGCGGAGCTCATCTTAAGCACGCGTTTGTTCAGAGTCGAGACGCGTCGCGCAAACGTGCGTTTTACACGCGAAGATAAAAATACCAATAATAATACAGCAAAAAAAATAATACTCATACTCTGTAACAGTGACGTCGGAAAAGTATTAAATAACAGACCTGGTTTGTCTTCGTACTCAGTGTGTGGTTATAGTTTGTGGTGTGGAGTTGCGTGGTGAGAAATGTGAGTTGGATTTTTTTTTAATTTAATTTTTAAGTTTTTTTTGTTCTTGTAGTATTATAAAAAAGTTTTTAAAGGTGTGCCAGTTTTTATTGAGGTTGTATTTTTTTAAAGTTTTTTTTTTCTTCTAGTAGTATTAAAAAAAGACTTTTTAAAGGTATGCCATTTTTTTATTGTGGTTGTATTTTTTTAAAGTTTGTTTTCTTCTAGTAGTATAAAAAAAAAGTTTTTTAAAGGTGTGTCATCTTTTTTACTGTGGTTGTATTTTTTAAAGTTGTGCATTGGTGCTTTGATTTGTATTGATTAAAGTAAATTACGTTAAGTAAATTAGCAGTGAATTTCGGACAACATTTTTTTTTTTTAAGATATTTTTACGATATGTGAGCACGCGTTGAAATCTTTTACTTGCACCCAATTCAGGCGTACGCTCAGCAACAAAGATATTAAACATTTTAATAATATAACTTTGGTATTTCAACGATTTACATTTTTCTGTGCACTTTTAAATTAAGCTGCTTTTAGAATTGACTGTTAACTTAAGTTTTTTTAAATAATAATTCAAAACTACTTACTTATTCAGTACTAATAATTTTTAAATTGTATTGAAACGTTTTCATGATTTTTTCATATATGTTTTTAGTTAAATTACTATCATAAACAGTTCTCATAGTTATAATATTCAAACCTAATTGATAACGTACTTGGATATTTTTTTAATACATTTTTTTTATTTAGCAAGCATGGATAATGTTATATTAATAATATAAATATCTTTATAAACAGAAATAAGTACAAAAAATAATTGGCACAGGTCATGAACTTATGACCTTTCGAGATCAGGCCATGTGCTTTAACCGTAGTGACGATATAACTTATTAAATGCGAATTTCTATCTAGTTCGTACAAAATAGTGACAAGAAATACCAAATAGTGCAATAAATGTCACGAATGGGCACAAGTTAATACTTTAGTCACGTTATGAGAATTATTCAATCTAAAAGATCTGAATAGTAACCAATGTACCATACGTACATATGACCAAATAGTGACAATAAATATCTCATGCTGAGGCATAGACAAAAATATGTACCACACAATTAAAGTAATACCCTATTTCGTAAATATTAATTCATTATATATAAGAGTAATCATCATCATCATCAGCCTATCAATGTCCCTACTGCTGGGGCACAGGACTTCCCCATGGATCGAATCGGGAGATTGGGCCATGACCCACCACGCAGACGCCAATTGGTGGGCACAACTACGGATGCAGCCGGGCCCAACGGCTTAACGTGCCTTCCGAAACACGGAGCAACTCGGGATGGTAAATTTCCGGTCACCCATCCAATGACCGACCACTGTGAATGTTGCTTAACTTCAACGATCACAACTAAATGCGCTAATCACTTGCGCCATCGAGCATCTCATAAGGGAAATACAAACTAAATTTCCTATATATAGTGATCAAAAATTGCCTATAAAAACGACACCATTACGCATGATTTCACGAAATTAAATAATGTCCATGAGTAAGTAGGAGTGTAATGAGGAGCTCGATAGCGCAACTGGTTAGCGCGTTCGGCTGCGATCGTCGAAGTTAAGCAACTTTCGCAGTGGTCGGTCATTGGATGGGTGACCAAAAATTTACTATCTCTCACTCCTCCGTGCTCCGGAAGGCACGTTAAGCCGTTGGTCTCGGTTGCATCTGCAGTCGTTAGCACCCACCAATTCGCACAAGGCCCGCGTGGTGGGTCATGGCCCAATCTCCCTATTCCATCCATAGGGAAGGCCTGTGCCCCAGCAGTGGAAACATTAATAGGCTGATGAATTGAAAAAAAATATCTTATCTACACTCATGTCGAAATATTCGAAGTACGAATTGGAAGATGGTTTTATAAAGACTTACTTTTTTAACCGCACAAAATTAAAAAAATGGGTGCGTGTACTTATGTAGGCGCGTGAGAAGTTATCCTTCTTTGGCATCGTTTAAAATTAGTTTTTAATTGCATGCAAATAATTAATTACAATAAATTAATAAAAAGTCTGGAAAAGGACACAGTCAATAAAGTTCAGTTTTAATTTGACAAAAATAAATAAATAATCAAAATATTCAATTAAAATCGCTACTGAATATAATTTATTAGAACATATTTGATTTGCACTTGTATGAAACTCAAACACGTATTCCGAATATACAAACTAGAAACATGTGGATAAATATTATAAATATGAATACCTATAACTGTTACTTTATTACAAAAAATAAAGATGTGGTTTTTGGTTTTACTACACCAATGGTCAAGAGATGGCGCTGTAGTCTCCTGAATCGCGCTTTGGTTCCGTTGTTCCAGATTAATAAATACTTTTGATAGCCTTCACAATGCAGTCGTTAGCACCCACTAAATAGAGATTCTATTTCTATTTTGTTGGTAGATTTTCTTAATGTGCGGTAAACACAAAAGTAATTTTTTGTGTTACAGTGATGCGCGCGCATCTTAAAATTTCACTCTCATCATTTTTTCATAACGCGCCTAAAGAAGTATAACTTCAAAAAAAAACAAAATTAAAAAAACCTTGTTAATCATTCTGGTACACTTTTATTTCTTAATTTATGAAATTAGGCCATTATATTAGGCTGAATGTGAAAGAAGTGGCGCACGCATTTGAAATTTGAACTTAATTTCTCCCGCTGCCCATACAATTTTCTGTCGATTGTGTTTTGTTTTCGGGATTTCAGAAGAGTTATCACACTTATATTTGATTGATGATGATTGATGATAATCATTTTAATCAAATTTCGTATGGAGTTAGCTGACGCACTGGATTATCACATAGGCTACGTTTTACTGCGGGAAAATATCCCTAATAAAGCGCGGGTAACACCGCGGGGCACAGCTAGTGCAAAATAATTCTATGTTACTTTCTTTAATTTCAATTGTTCCTATGAGTGAAGATGAAGTAGTGTATGCAACTGTATATAATATAGGTATTAAAACACTCAAGTGTGCTTAAATACACCCCTTCTTATATAACAGTCGCATAAACTATTATACCTCCTGTATGTATATGACCACCTGGTACTTTAAGAAACAGAACTGAGCACTTATGGCATAGATTCGCTACTTACGCTTAGTTTGTCCAAAACATGATCATTATTGCTGTATTTAAAATAAAGAACCTGCATTGTATTTAAAAAATACTGGGTCAATAACACTCGTAAAACACAACACATCTAAATTAGTAACTTTAGGCAAACTAGATGAAAATTGTTCTTACCATGATGGTGCTCATTACCGTAGCATTCTCTTACATTATTGTCCCCATAATGTTAACCAGGGTAATATTTTTTTGTAGTTTATCTACAAAATAAACTGTAGATAAGATAAACATGATCACCCTTATTAATTAACGAAGACTTTGCTTGGATTAGTTACTCCATGTTTTGTCTCTGTCTATTGAATGACAAATGGCATTTGTGTGACATGAACAAAACACGGCGTAACTAGACTAAGCTTATACCCTGTTTATTATTAAGGGCAATATGGTAAAAATAATCCGAATCTATTTGACGGCCAACACAAAACCACCGTAGAGAAGCAACATCCTCTTAGTTCATGGTAGCCTGGTAGTACATACAATATATGTAAAAAATACTGGGTCCAATAACACTCGTAAAAGAAGACAATATTAGTAAGTTTAGGCAAACTAGGTTAAAATGTTCCAGGGTAATAATTTATTTGTAGTTAGATAAAGGGACTCTCATGTTTTAACACCCCTTCTTATATGACAGTCTTATAAACTGCTATGGCAAGGAGCATTTTTTCGCAACGCGCCAGTCATAGCTATAAGTATGATACAATTCGACCGCTCTCGATTGGTCGAGCGAAAGGTCAGGAATCGATTCGGATTAGTCGATAGTTCAATCACTTGATAAATTTTATACCTAATGAACCGACTAACTATCGACTATTTTGTCGCTCAATAAACGTACTTTAAATATACATTCCGTGTAAACAAGAAACAATAGCTGATCGCTGTCTGTTCACACTGCTAGCGAGAACTCGCTCCACTAGTTTGCCGCTGAGCGATAAGAGCTATCAAAGATAATACTCTCTCAGCGATGCTCGCGTGGCTGTTAAGAGCTCGCATCCCGCCAATGGTTTTTCCATTCAAACGTTCGCGAATGATTCCTCCTTGATTATTATTACTAAATTACTAAAGAATTGCTTTTCATAGATAAAATATAACTTTACTCATTATATGCTCCTGTGTCCTCTTTTTTACCGTAAATTATGTTTTAAAAAAGTAGAAACCCTCTTAAAAGGCCAAAAATAAACGTCTAACGTGGAGATTAAATAAGTATTATAGTACAAAAATATCAAAACATAGAGGACTACTTATTATTCTTTGTGTAAAAATTCTTTTACATCATTCATCTACACGTTTCATTCGCTCACATAGAGGATACTTCTATAACTTCACTTCACTTTTCACAGCAGAATTCACCAATGCGATTTGAAATTTATTTGAAATTAGAGGTCGACTTCCTCTGCGTTAACTTAGTTTCTTGTAAATCCCTCTGGAACCTAATATTTTTTCGGGATAAAAGTAGCCTATGTGTTAATCTAGAGTGTCAGCTAACTCCATACCAAATTTTATTAAAATCGCTCCAGCCGTTTAGACGTGAAGAAGTAACAAACATACACACTCACATACTCACAAACTTTCGCCTTTATAATATTAGTTAAGAGGTCGATCTGATGTGAAAAGTGACTTTGTTCATATCGAATAGCATTATGCTGACACTTCACTTGGCTATTCGTATTTGCTATTTGTATACTTGACACCAGTATGTCCTTTTCTTTCCTTATACAGCATGATAAGGATACACTGCTGTTTACAAATAGCAAATACGAATTGCCAAGTGAAGTGCCCGCATTACAGATTGAATCTGTTGTGCCGTAAGTACGTCTTAATTAAAAAGTCTTAAATTAAAAACA